CAACTATTTTAATTATTTTAAATAATTTCCTGTGATGGAAAAGCTGGATTTTTAACAGCCATTACGCCAGTCTTCAGTGTCACATGATCCTTCAGAAATCATTATAATATGCTATTTTGATGCTCAGTAAACAATTTGTAGTATTATCAATGTTTTTTTCAGCTTAAAGTTTTGTGGAAAATGCAATACACTATCATTCAAAAGTTTGGGCAAATTTTTTTTTCTTGGGGGGGGGGGTGATTAATACTTTTATTCATCAAAAATGCATTAAATTGATCAAAGTGACAGTGAAGACATTTACAGTATAATGTTACCAAAAAAAAGTGCAGGGAAAATAAATGACTACTTTTTACTTGATTGTTGCATCACTTTTTAAAAAACGAGTTCTAGATTTTGACTTATTTGTCATTGACCCATTTACAAATATTAATACATTAAAGTATGTTGAATTATGTAAAGCACAAATACTACATCTTAAACTGAAAGAAGCAAAAAGTCAGCTGTTGTCATCATAAACCCCGAACAGTTCACACAGACTGAAATCTTACAGTCAAATGACAGTTTCTATCTGGTAAGCGCTTTGGCACAGTATAACCTTAATCAGCTTTAGGAATGAATAAATTACCAAACCATTTGCCTCCATTAGCCTATGCAGATGAGACTGAGAGAGAAATGACACCTGACCTGCACTGGGGAAGCAGCTGCCATTGATAGAGGACAATCCAGCCTCATTTAGCTTCAAATTACCCCGGGAACTATAACACCCACAATCACCTTCAACATGGCTGATTCCGCTCCCGCATTCAGCCAATCACAAAAGACACAAGTGTTTTGGATATATCGTTTCTGTCTGGTTATTCTCTCAATAAGTGCAATTTTATGGTCAGTTGACTGGTAGTAATGGTTTCCTTTAAGACTGATTACGTTCATTAATTTGGTCACTCAGGACACACAGTGAAGTGTAGGATATCTCCATCCGTTCATCTTTTTCCTGGGGCATTGCTTATATCCTCTTCACTTGCCAACATCTGCCAGTAGTCATCATGATATGAAATGGAAGCCCTTTTCAAAATTTAATCTTTTGTTGCGGTTTGCCCTTACAAAGAGAAATGAAGCAAGCATTATTAATTACTACAGCTAGGGCCCCAACGTTCCAGCCCTGAGAGAAATGGAGAAAAAGAAAGAGTCGGAAATCAAAGGTTTTAATACATTTTTAAAGTTTAAGAAGGATGTCTTAGAACATTCACCTGCAGATACATTTGTGAACAATGCATCTAAAGAGCATATACTGGTCAATATATGATTGAACCTTTTATATTCCTTTTCTTAAAGGGCTCTGTGAATATTCTTTAATATAACCTTAGTCATCTCATATTGCAGACCTTAGCAATTGAAAAAAGTTTCAAACCAAATCACGTGGCACTTGAAAATTTCACATGCCACATTGTACAGTTTCAGACATTTTCCATAGATGTTTAAATGAACAAAAAGTCACTTTCAACCTTCCTTGCATTTCCTTTATACACATGAGCAATTCCATAGACTTCTCAAAAGACAGTAAAATCACTTTTCCCCTCTCTATGCCCCCTTTTTTTGGACTAAGCTGTCTTCCAAGGTAACCTTTTCGGTGAAATCCTCTGCCTCAATGACTTATTGTGTGAATTCAGTGAGGTATTAAACCGCATATTTGCTCATTTCAGCCCATTCTCATATACCCATCTTTTCACATGCATTTTTATGAGCACCCTGCGTGCATACAAGCTACTGTGTCTCAATTAAAAAAATTGTAAAAAAAAAAGGTTTGCGAGAAGACCTCAGGTAGCACATCAATATGTGGAAATGAGAATTCCCATATTTTCTGCATGTGGAATTCATAAGAATGGCAATCAAACAGTAAATTGATTAATGTGCTGTTGGAAAATTTGCAACAAGACAATAGAACATTGTTCAGCATGTGCTTTACTTAACTGTAATGACAAGATCACAGCCATTAAAAAGGGTGTAAAGTGTCTCCTAATCCATCCTGCCTGTAATTGCCTATTAACAAATGGGCACTAAAATGTTAATGTGCATTTGGCTAGCAGCTGTGGGTTTGTTGATTAACATGATGTACTGAATCTTTCAGGTCACTATGTGATGCACTTTGAGGTCTAGAAGGCCTTGTGTTTAGATCCTGTGCTGCTATTCTGGACAGGCAAATCACTAATGCCCTTTAAAGTGATGCAGTATTAATAACAACTAGCATTATACATACCTTTTGTTATATAACAGTAAGTTCCGGTCACTGGAACAGCGAGCCAAACATGTCTATAACAGTCCAACAGCACTGAGACTTTTCACTGTTTGTATCACTAGGCTTGTCTGCGTTTGCACAGACAGAGTCTGTGTGTTAGTGGTGGGTGTTTTTCATTGCCTTTTTTTTGCAGGTTCCATCCGTACATCAGTGATGATCGAGTCATTACTCAATCGCCGAGGCGGACAAAGTACACAACTCCATTACTTAAGTGAAAGTACAGATACTCCTGGTCAAATATTACTCCATTACAAAAAACTGAACCTAGGAGAGGAGGTAATTCTGACTTTGCTCTGACAATCTGGTGCTTCTGAATCAGCTACTGTTTTGTTATTAGTTTAAGTATTTGCTATTGACTGTTCAAATGTGGAGTTTTGCGCATCGTGTGTGTGTGTGTGTGTGCGCGTGTGTGTGCGTGTGAGAGAGAGAGAGACAGGGTCACATCACAGTGGAGTCAGCTGTCTTAACCGTGGCTTGTGTACTGCAAAAACATACAAGTTTCATCACTGTGACTGTCACGCGACTCTGTTCCCCTTTCGTGCTCTGTCTTTACATTTATTTTGAAAGATGAAGCTCGCGATTATGGTAAGGGGCGTTACATTTCCGACGAGTGCTTGCGGTGTTCGACCAATCACAATGCACTGGGTCAGCTGGTCAATCAGAGCAGACTGCGCTTGTCGGAAGGAGGGACTTTGTAGAAAACGAAGCGTTTGAGAGAGGCGGGGCATAGAGGACCTACAATAATGTACAGTATTTGAAAAATGTGTTTTTTGAACATTAAAGCATGTCAACATATTCTGTTACACCAAATACACAAAATAATGATCTTTTAAAAAGCATCATAAGACCCCTTTAATAATGCTTTCTTGTTCACGTGAGCTCTATACTGCTGATTTTAAAATCAAAGATTTGTTACTGTGAATTAGGGTTACAACTTACTAAAATTATTATTGTTTAGAGACTTGTTCTAATGGTCACATTTTCTTCAATAACAGCTTAAAAATTTGCTATTTATTATCTCTGTGAGTGTGTGTGTGTGTGTGTACCAACAAGTACCTGAGGCTTGTAAAGCTTGAATACAAATGTGTCTTTGACGAGCAACACCTTTAGTCCTCCCAAGAGTCATCCCATAATTCCTCAAAATTCATCTTTTTAAAGTAGTGCACAGTAAACACATTTATTAGGTCATAATCTCCAACTGAATTCTTGTTCCCTTCAATTTTGAGGCTCAAAAATAATGCTGGGTATTCATTTTACTTGTATAGAAAAGCCTCTTCATGGATGGCTAAAAACATCAGGACTCTTTACACTTCATTTCCTGATCCAATGTTTTAGTGAGACGGTAAAAACGAAAAGCGTTCACGTCAAAAATCTTAAAACCATGCAAATAATGCAGAACAGACACATATTTTCAGCTAAACAAGCCTCAGATTTGGGCAAAACTAATCCCGAAGAGGACAAATGAACTGCGTTTGAACCATGTTGTGAATGCTATACCAAGTTGCCCAGCAGTTGCCATGTTGACCTCATGTATTTGCCTCATAGTAAAGCACTTGATGTTGTGAAGTATGTCCATCGAGCCTTGGGCCTGAGACTACAGCTGTGTTTTCCTCACTTCCTCCCTCACTGTGGGAGGAGTTTCTCAAGGGCATCCTTTAAACACTGTCCGCTTTGTTCTGTTTCTACCCCGTGCTTAGTTTAAGTGAATACCATAAATGTATCAATTTATTTGAACTTTATTTCTCACTTCATTAGTTTCTAGGGCACCGCACGGAGGGACGGGGGGAGAGAAGATGTGTGCCTCCTTCGAGAGTAAAAATGCAATTTCACAGTCAACTTAACTGAGATACTTTACACAACAATAGAGGGAAAAAAAGACAGGAGGCCTACTTGAACACTGCAGTCTGTTATCAGACACTAGAGACGGGAGTCATGGAGGAATAAAATGCTTGCTGGAGAGTGCTAAATCTCGTTAAACACCACTTGTTAAACAGCCAAGGAACGGATCTGTTCAAATGTGATCTGGCCCAAAGAGATAGTGTACTGTCCTGTTAACTTCCATTGCCCAAAACTGATCAAACCACCGAGATAATACGTCATGCGCTTACAATGGAAACAAAAGAAAGTATCAGTTTTGGAAGATAAGCAGAATTTAAATTCGTAAACAAATATTTTGGCTGGCATGTTCAAAACCGTGCGCACACAGAGACACTTTTACGCCGAGACTTGAACATACAGACAAGCCGTTTCACAGTGAAGCAGATCACACTAATGAAGGAATCAAAACATAATTTATTACAGCAGCTTCCACTCAGTCGTGCTGGAACGCTCTCTTACATACACACGCTGAGAAGGCAAAGACATGACAGGGGCTGATAGATTCTTCCTACTTCATTACCCCCAGTCTTTCAGAGTGTAGCATAAGTCCGCATCAAATCAGCAACCGGCTAATCAAACAAAGGCTCAAGCACTGCTTAAAACGACTAAGGAAAATAGATTCATTTGGACGATTATCCTTTTCTTGCTTGAAATTAGTGGCTATTTGGCACACCTAAAATAATTAAGTGAAATCTCTTTGTCACTTCACCAAGCAGCATGCTGGGTAATAATAGTAAACCTGATAAAAGGGATAGTTGACTTTAAGATGGAAATTGTCATCATTTGCTCACCATCATGTCATTCTAAACTGTAAGCTGTTTTATATATGAATGTTTTATATGTATTTTATGTATTATGTTTTATAGTTGAATTGTATATTTAATCATTTTTTTACATCAGATCCCAAAATCCCATATCCACGTGTACCGCAAAATAATGGCGAGAAAATGTATCTTTCTCTCTAGTTCTGTTCCAAGCAAAAATTACAAAAATACAGAGAGTATCTTGATTTCTGAACAAATGCTGATTCATGAGCAAATGACTCTTAAAAACTGGCTCTTTTAAAAAAAACTCACTCAAATACAGTCCGAGTTACGGAATTAAGTCAGACAGTTCCATCACCGAATGAACTCTGAATCTTTCAGAATACTGAATAAACTTCTGACTCGCTTACTAAACTGCAATTTGTCATTTTCAGTGACAGCCGTCTCAAAATAAAGTTGTATATATTTACAACATATACAACAGTAGTGATCACAGTGTGTCAATTTCCAAAAAGAAATTGGTCTGTATAACTAAAAAGTATTCTTAAGATAGCTTAATATTATAAAACAAGCTATTTAAGTGACTATTTCTTACAAATCAAATATGCAGGTTGGACATCAATAGCATCAAATGTCATTGGTTCTTGCATGTAATGACATCAAATCTGAGCCATAAGTGATTTGCATGAACAATTTGAGAGCAAAAAATGATTTACATTTCAATTTATTCTTCACAAAAAGTTGGACTACTTTAAAACTTTTAATGTTGTATCTATGACATTATGTTGCCATTGTGAACTACTGCTGGATGAAAAAGCTGCAGGACGATTCTCTAAAAAAGAAAAAAAATTATACAGGTTTGGACCAACTTGAGGGTGAGTATATGATGACAATTTTAATTTTTGGGTGAACTATGCCTTTAAAATTGGATTTATTGGATTATTATCTTTCAGAAAGGCAGAGTACAACTGTCCATTTCTGAACTAACAATGAAATATGACATGCTGGTTTCAGTCATAGATCCATATAAGGCTTGTTTAACCCTCATTGTGTTTGTCCACCCTGTGCAGATCAGAGTTATCAAAAATGTAAAAAATTATAACACTGATTTTGAGTGCCAACACATTTTGTCCCAATGCAGAGCCACAGATTTGAATCAGAGTTTGCTGTTCTTCTGGAATTGTGACACCAGGCCCATCACCTGCTCCGAAGCCTTGATGACTTTATTCTGCAGGTAGGCGGCGCTGTTTGTGCTGGTCTCATCTAAAAAGTAGCGATAATTTACCATTATGCCGCAAGAGTTGGCAATTCCTCGTGGGCTTGTGTCCGCTTGCCAGTTCAGCCTCCACATGGTGGCGCCGTTCTGAAGATGGAAGTTGGCCACAGGGTTTAGGGCGTAGCCCCGGCGTTTCTCTCCGTACAGGTACCAGGCGCAGAGCCGCATTAGGGCAGGTTCCAGAGCACGGATCAGGCGGTCGGAGCGGATCCACTCGCTGGTGCTGATGAGCCTGCGCAGGGCCTCCAGAGCTGGGGCACCAGGGGCGGCTCCCGTCACATCCTCCACCTCCCTCCACTCCTGCTCAGACAGGAGCTCTATGGCACGTCCCTCCTTCTTGTGCTGTCCGAGAGCCCCTTGTAGCCATAAGAAGAAACCAGGGATGGGAGACAGACTGGAGAACTGGGCCATGTGAGGAAATTCACTCTGCACAGAAAGGTAAACACAGACGGTTAACTCTCAAATGCATATCTCTACCAACACACCCAAAAATTATATATACGTCATATAGGTTTTACAGTAAATTGAGTAAAGGAGTGTCTCAATTCATGGACAAATGACTATTATGAGCGGATTTTAAGCAAATGACTCTTACGAACTGACAAACTAATGAATAACTCAAAAACACTCAACCTCATTAATTACAGATTCAAATCAGACAGTTTTTGCATTGAATGAGTTCTGAATGTGAACATGTCTTGTGAAACTTGAATTAGGATCTGATTTACTGACTGGTTGTTCACATAATAAAAAAAGAGATTTTTGTCATAATATAAATATATATATTACACATTTATTTGATCAAAGATACAGCAAAAACATTGTGAAATATGAATACAATTAAACATTACAGTGTCACATGATTCCTAATCATTTTAATATGCTGATTTGGTGCTCAATTTTTTTTTTTTATTATCAATGTTAAAAACAGTTGTTGCTGAATATTTTTGTGTAAACCATGATATGTTTATATAAAGTACCTATATCCTCTCTCCTTATTCTTCTTTTTCTCTTTATTTTTATCCTCTATCCGCACTCCATTTGTACAAATTTAAAAACCATGTTGAACAAGTCCACTGTGTCTCTTTCTCATCCCCCACAAGGACATAGACACGCTCATTTTCTCTCCCTCTTCTGCCCACATTCAACAAGAAGAAAGCACTGAACAAACCAAACGTGTCAGACTGGCCCCGGAGGAGCAGAGATTTTAAGTCCTCCACATCTCAAGTCCATCACACTTCCCTCTCGCTCTCATTCTTTGCCATGCATCATTCCTTCAGACAGGCAGGAGTGAAGGGAGATTAAGCATGTCCAAGATCACTTTTCATTCATCAACTCAATTTTCTGTAAAACATCAGTCAGTGGGTTTAAAGCTACAGAGAGCGAGAACGAAGAGTAAGGACAAGAAGAGAGTGAATGTAAGATAGAAAGCGAGTGCAAAAGAGCCCCATGAGGATTCTGCTGAAAGACAAGCAAACCCTCCTTCCATTCTCCTAAATCACACCGTGACCTTTCTCCACTTCTTTTTTTCTGTCTATCATCCATCCATCACACCAATCGTCCCCTTGTGGCATGGTGAGACACCTTTACTCTTTCTTCAGCAGAAGGATGATCTCAAACTCTCACAGGTACTTTATACTTTTTTCCAAACTACATAAACTTTACACAAATTTTCTCAAGTTTTACAAACAGCTTCAACTTCTCACAGATTTCAATTCACAGTCAACAATAATTACAAAGTTGTTAAACTTTGGCATGTAACTCATCTCATATGAACATGAAACTGCCTATTTATAACAGTAGTAACAATAAACTTAGTAACAATACCTAAAGCAACAATGGTGTTTTGCTGGAAACTATGGTTACTATAGTAAATTTTTTTGTAAGGGTCATATGGATATTTATGGACCAAGATGGAGGGTACTTTTTTCAAAGAAAAACAAGTGAGCTGCATTTGCACACACACTTCAGAAACTAATTTAAATACAAACCCAGAGCATCAACATGTACAGTTTGCATGAAATAATATCTATCAACTGTCCATTTCCACTCAAATGATGCCTTCAATCTCTCATTTGGGTAAATCAGCTCTCTGAGAACCGCAGCCCTTCACAGAGAGCTCTTTACTACGGTTAACCTCTATTACACAAACAGCCATCCAGCACTTTGTTTCACCAACATTCCCGCTGAAGCAAAACTCATCTGAATCTCTAAACCCGAGTGCCTCTCGTTTCTTTTCCATTTGATTTCACCTTCATCTAGTAAAGAGGCAGGAGCTCTGTGACATGCCATGTGTCCCTCCTTCTTTATGTTATTGAGGGTGACAGCTGAAATTGTATTAGTTTTCCTGCTTTTTCTCTCTTCCAGCTAGAAATGTGCTAAAGTACAATGCCTGGCATTAGGTGATGCTGTGGGACAAATATACTAATGTTATTACAGTTTTTAGGTTCAATTTAAAATTTGTATTGAATTAATTAAATTGCATATTAGTTTTTGTTTACAAAATGCCCAAACCAGGGTCAGCAGGCCAAAGATGGCCAGCGATGACCTTTGATATCACAAGAGAAGGGGGCAAAAAAAACAGAGTTTTATTTTTTCAAAAAGAAATGTAAAACAAAAATGAATACAATTTATATATTAATTTTTGTTTTATTTTTGCACTGAAATGTAAAAAACTATGTGTAAATTTGATTAAAATATAATTTAAAAAATTGATGATAAATTGTATTAATTATATTAAAAAAAAATTTTTTATAATATATTTTAATATAAAATACACACAGACTCACATAAGATATGTGACCCTGGAGCACAAAACCAGTCTTAAGTCGCTGGGGTATATTTGTAGCAATAGCCAAAAAAACATTGTATGAGTCAAAATTATCGATTTTTCCTTTTATGCCAAAATCATTAGGATATTAAGTAAAGATTATCTTCCATGAAGATATTTTGTAAATTTCCTACCGTATATATATATATCAAAACTTAATTTTTGATTAGTAATATGCATTGCTAAGAACTTCATTTGGACAACTTTAAAGGTGATTTTCTCAGTATTTTGATTTTTTTGCACCCTCAGATTCCAGATTTTCAAACAGTTGTATCTCGGTTAAACCTCAATTTCGAGAAATTAACCCTTATGACTGGTTTTGTGGTCCAGGGTCACATATATATAATGTAATATTTTGAATATAGTGTTTAAAATCCTACTTGACTCAATAGCAGACTGTTTTCCTAGCATTTATTATTTATCCATAGTATGCAATAATTATTTAAAGAGCTGTGATGAACATCACTTTTTATGATTCATTGTCTCATTCATTTGCCCACCTGCAGTTCTCGGACCACCCTCTTGATGAGGTAATTTCCAAGCTCCACCCCCTGCAATCCAGCCTGAGTGGAGGAGATGGAGTAGAAGATGGCCGCATTGATCTTGTTCACATCCTCATCCGTGTCTAGAGTGGAAAACTCTCTTACAATTCCCTGGGAAAATAAGAGACACGTGGTAAATTAATAAATTCATGGAGCACTCACTGGAGGCATTGGCAGAATCAGGGACCATACTGAACAAATCTGTACATTCTAGTTTAAATTGTGCTGTTTTGGAGCATTTTTAACTGCCTGTCTTGCACAAGGACGCTCTCTCCCTTCATGAACCCAATAATACGTTTACACTCTATTTGACCATAAATTATTCTTTGTGATGAATAACAAATGTGATTTTCATTTGCATTTACCTGGATATTATTTGCTATGTCTTCAGTTAAGGCAACGTGCAGCACCACCAGTGGTTCTCCAGGCATGGAGGCGTGGGTGAAGGCGTAACATCTCCGGTATGGCCCCACTCTGCGTTTGATATCCGTCCAGTTCCGCACAGGATGGACTGCCTCGTACCTGTAGGATCAACCAAACAAACAAACAAAAAAGGCTCAACTGGGAAGGCAAATAAAAAGGAAATGTTTATACATATGAGTGAGATCTTACTGGCTGATCTTCTGAAGGATCTCGCATGGGGACTGCCAAGTGATTCTTTCGAGTCGGAGTAACCCAACGGAGAACCATTCTGACAGAAGACTCTTCAGAGTGCTGTTCAGATCCTAACACACCAAGATATACAAACACAAGAAGAACAGCACTGAAGAATGTGAGAAGTGAACATGCTGTTTCATTTAAAGAAGTTCTGAAAGTTCTCAAAGTTCTCAAGTTATTATTATTGTGATTACATTGTGAGACCCTGAACCAGTATTATTTTACTATTATTTATATACCATCATAGTTTTTTTATACATATATATATATATATATATATATAATTACACTTATAATACTAACACAAGGTGCACAGATGATAAAAGCTGTTTTCTTTTTTTCGTATCTTTTAACAAATCTTGAGAAGTTCATGCATCTGTCATCCCTAATTTCCAAATTAATATGTTTAACTTACATCAGGGGGAACACCTATTTGCTCCAAGGTAAATTCAAACAGCTGATAAAAACATCACAATAATCCACACGACTCCAGTCCATCAATTAAAATCTTGTGAAGCAGAAAGTTTATGGATTATGGGCTGGTATTTTGGTCAGAAGGGACAGTTTAACACCTAAATGATGGATTTGTTTCTTACAAACACAGCTTTTCACTTCACAAGCTGTTAATTGATGGACTGGAATCATGTGGTTTACTTATTGATTATTATGTTTTTATCAGTTGTTTGAATTCTCATTCTGATGGCACCCATTCACTGCAGAGGATCCATTGGTGAGCAAGTGATAGAATGCGACAATTCTCCAAATCTGAAGAAACAAACTCATCTACATTTTGGATGGCCTGAGGGTGAGTAAATATTTTCATTTTTGGGTGGAATATTACTGTAATGTTAATAATACATTCATATTCGTTCATTTGAAGTATTGAGAATGTTGAAGAAATGTCAGTAACAACTCTGTTCAGGTACACAAATCGCTGTCAAATCATTTTTTCTATGTGTTTAATCCCATTACTGTGCAATTTAAAGGGGTCATATGATGCAATTTCAATTTTTCCTTTCTCTTTGGAGTGTTACAAGCTCTTGGTGCATAAAGAAGATCTGTAAAGTTGCAAAGACTAAAGTCTCAAATCCAAAGAGATATTCTTTATAAAAGTCCAAGGTAAATTCAAACAGCTGATAAAAACATCACAATAATCCACACGACTCCAGTCCATCAATTAAAATCTTGTGAAGCAGAAAGTTTATGGATTATGGGCTGGTATTTTGGTCAGAAGGGACAGTTTAACACCTAAATGATGGATTTGTTTCTTACAAACACAGCTTTTCACTTCACAAGCTGTTAATTGATGGACTGGAATCATGTGGTTTACTTATTGATTATTATGTTTTTATCAGTTGTTTGAATTCTCATTCTGATGGCACCCATTCACTGCAGAGGATCCATTGGTGAGCAAGTGATAGAATGCGACAATTCTCCAAATCTGAAGAAACAAACTCATCTACATTTTGGATGGCCTGAGGGTGAGTAAATATTTTCATTTTTGGGTGGAATATTACTGTAATGTTAATAATACATTCATATTCGTTCATTTGAAGTATTGAGAATGTTGAAGAAATGTCAGTAACAGCTCTGTTCAGGTACACAAATCGCTGTCAAATCATTTTTTCTATGTTTTTAATCCCATTACTGTGCAATTTAAAGGGGTCATATGATGCGATTTCAATTTTTCCTTTCTCTTTGGAGTGTTACAAGCTCTTGGTGCATAAAGAAGATCTGTATTTTCATTTTTGGGTGGAATATTACTGTAATGTTAATAATACATTCATATTCGTTCATTTGAAGTATTGAGAATGTTGAAGAAATGTCAGTAACAACTCTGTTCAGGTACACAAATCGCTGTCAAATCATTTTTTCTATGTGTTTAATCCCATTACTGTGCAATTTAAAGGGGTCATATGATGCAATTTCAATTTTTCCTTTCTCTTTGGAGTGTTACAAGCTCTTGGTGCATAAAGAAGATCTGTAAAGTTGCAAAGACTAAAGTCTCAAATCCAAAGAGATATTCTTTATAAAAGTCAGCCACAAGTTTATAAGAGTCAGCCACACCTACCTAAAACGGCTCGTTCTATCTAACACGCCCCCACATATCTAATCATTGATAACAAGAAGAAATGTTTCTTGAGCGCCAAATAGGTATATTAGAATGATTTGTGAAGGATGGTGTGACACTAAAGACTGGAGTAATGGCTGCTGAAAATTCAGGAATAAAGTACATTTTAAAATATAATGAAGTAGAAAGCAGCTCTTTTCATTAGTAGTAATTTTTCACAATATTCCAGTTTTAACTATTTTTGCACACACAAATGCAGCCTTGGTGAGCAAGAAACAGTAAAAAATCATACAGTACCAACTACAATCTTTTGTGATACTTATTCGCACACTTATATACATACATAAACATGCATTTTTTTAAATTATATATTTAATTGAATTTTTAAATGTTTGAGAAAAGCAGTACAAAAGTTTCCATCAGCTGGTTGTTATATTCTTTATTTCAGATGAAAACACCTAAAGAGGAAAGCATGGACAACAGTGACAGAAGGTACAGTAAGATCGCTGTCACATGTGATGTTATTATTGGTAGCCAGGACTGCACATTTAGTTTCACAGATTGAGGCTTTTGATTTAGAGAAACGGCATCAGCAGCCAGCAGCTGCACTTGGAAATGAGTTTTAATCCATTTACGATTCAATATGCAATCATACTTTTTTTTTCTTGCCTTTGGAGTTGATGAAAATTAATTCTGATGAATTGAATGTGCGCAGTTCTGGACAATATCCATTCCGATTTTCTCGCTACATTGGCTGTCTTTCAGAAAATTAATTTATTTATTGGAAAGAAAGCTGTGGCATGTCAGAAAAGTAATAAGTTTAAAGCATTCAGATCAGACTGGGTGGGAGGGGGTCCTGGGGTGGAATGAATTGGAGCCTGAGGCATAAATCTGCACAAGCAAACATTTAACATGTATTGATATTTCATCTACAGAAATAAATTTCATATATAAGATTTGTATATATAAAAGTTGGACCATCTAAAATCTCTCATTGACTGTTTCTGTCTCAGATAAGATAAGAACAGTACGTCTCTAATCAGGGACTTTGACAATCAGGCACTTTGTAAATCAAGTCTTGCTGGTGATTGCAGGTGGGAGGTTGATTTACACGGCAGAGGTCAGACTCTAAAACTGCTGAAGGTGTCCGAGTGTTCTTTTAAACTTAATCTCTCCCTGAAAGTTCAAAGCTGAATAGAACCATTTGTTATGATAATTGTAATTAATTGATTTGGTCTGCTCACCTCCCGCCACATCTGAATCATGCTTTATGGAAATTAAAGCTTGGATCTCTCCGCAGTTATCCATGGGCATAATTATTGTAATTATATAATTATCATCAGTGGCCATTAAGCATTATTGTGTAATCACCGTAATTTAGTCATTGTCATTGGCCAATGCATATTTGTCCTTTTGGGGGTTTTTTAGACTGAAGTTCTTACAGCCTTCAATTGTGTTTTTGGCTGTTTGTCTATTTTAGCTCTCAGATGAATGTTAAGGAAGACCCAGGGGAAGGTCCTGACTTTGTAACAAAAGGGAAAGGGAAAAAGAGGAAAAGAAAGGCAGATAACACGGATGGTCCCTCTTCTACCTCTGAAGCGCCTATGTAAGTGTTTGTTTTTTTCTAAGCGTAGCAATGAATGAATAAGCCAATAGCAGATCCTGCTTGATATATTTCTTATTTATAGAAGCAGTGGGGTAAGCTGTGCTACTTTTTACTTAGGGATAAATCAATTTCAGAGACCTTGCAATTAATTGACTAGCTTATTACATTTAATTTATTTGCCAGAAGAGTATGGAATTTCTATTGATTGTCAGAGTTGCCTTTGACTTTTTAGCATAAAAGTGTTCATGTGCATTAATCATAGGCAACTGTATATGATGGGCCCATTCTAAATATATGCTATTATTTAAACATTTGGGGGTTTTATCTTTTTGAAAGTCTCTTCTGGTATGCTTACCAAGGCAGCGTGTATTTTATTAAAAATCCATAAAAAAAAACGGCAATATCATGAAATATTATTACAGTCTAAAATAACTGTTCTATTTTAATACAATTTCAAATGTAAATTTCTCCTGTGATGGCGAAGCTGAATTTTCAGCAACCATTACTCCAGTCTTCACTGTCACATGATCCTTTAGAAATCATTGTAATATACCGATTTGGTGCTCTAAAAAGGGATTCTTTACATGTATTGTCTGCTTACTGTATGTCTTTGAAAGGCCAAAGAAGAAGAAGAAGAAAGTTGCAGAAGAGGGACAAGGAAACTCAACAACAGCGAATAAGAAAAAAAACAAGGAAAAAAAAAGAAAAGGTGGGTTTTACCCAGTGTTACGGGGCTGACGAGACGTGAGACTTGCAGATCCATTCGCAGAGCTTTTATTGGAGAAGACCCAGAGTGCGTTAGCGGTACATTGATTATAGAGAGAAGAACTGAGTGACAGAGCGTTCGCTGAAATCCTAGTAATTTGGGTATTTGAAAACCAAAAATCTTTAACACTAGAACCGCCAGGGGTTGCTGTATACCTAAAAGCGCCAGCGGGTAAATTTTACCCACGCACATGACAGCTGTTTTTGAATGGCTAAAGAACATATTATTTCACTGTATTATGCTACTGTCTTCACAAAGAAGTGTCTAGAGTCAACTAGGGCTAAGGCAAATGACTAGGGCTAAGGCAAATGACTAGGGCTAAGGCAAATGACTAGGGCTAAGGCAAATGACTAGGGCTAAGGCAAATGACTAGGGCTAAGGCAAATGACTAGGGCTAAGGCAAATGACTAGGGCTAAGGCAAATGACTAGGGCTAAGGCAAATGACTAGGGCTAAGGCAAATGACTAGGGCTAAGGCAAATGACTAGGGCTAAGGCAAATGACTAGGGCTAAGGCAAATGACTAGGGCTAAGGCAAATGACTAGGGCTAAGGCAAATGACTAGGGCTAAGGCAAATGACTAGGGCTAAGGCAAATGACTAGGGCTAAGGCAAATGACTAGGGCTAAGGCAAATGACTAGGGCTAAGGCAAATGACTAGGGCTAAGGCAAATGACTAGGGCTAAGGCAAATGACTAGGGCTAAGGCAAATGACTAGGGCTAAGGCAAATGACTAGGGCTAAGGCAAATGACTAGGGCTAAGGCAAATGACTAGGGCTAAGGCAAATGACTAGGGCTAAGGCAAATGACTAGGGCTAAGGCAAATGACTAGGGCTAAGGCAAATGACTAGGGCTAAGGCAAATGACTAGGGCTAAGGCAAATGACTAGGGCTAAGGCAAATGACTAGGGCTAAGGCAAATGACTAGGGCTAAGGCAAATGACTAGGGCTAAGGCAAATGACTAGGGCTAAGGCAAATGACTAGGGCTAAGGCAAATGACTAGGGCTAAGGCAAATGACTAGGGCTAAGGCAAATGACTAGGGCTAAGGCAAATGACTAGGGCTAAGGCAAATGACTAGGGCTAAGGCAAATGACTAGGGCTAAGGCTAAGGCAAATGACTAGGGCTAAGGCAAATGACTAGGGCTCCGTAAGGTAGCTATCTCTAGGAGAGTGATAAATGCTGAAACAATACTCGGCAGAGGGAAGGGATCAGAGTGAGTGTTAAATAGTGAGGGAGTGATATGAAACAGCTGGGTGCAATCAGTGTAAACAGGTGTGTGCAATTCGTGCTGAGTGCAATCAGTGCAATGCATGATGGGAAATGTAGTCCGGGGTGATGTGCAACAGTGTGTAGTGCGAGAGTCAATGAATAGGAAAGTTCATGGACCGGATTCGTGACACCCAGAGTGCGTTAGCGGTACATTGATTATAGAGAGAAGAACTGAGTGACAGAGCGTTCGCTGAAATCCTAGTAATTTGGGTATTTGAAAACCAAAAATCTTTAACACTAGAACCGCCAGGGGTTGCTGTATACCTAAAAGCGCCAGCGGGTAAATTTTACCCACGCACATGACAGCTGTTTTTGAATGGCTAAAGAACATATTATTTCACTGTATTATGCTACTGTCTTCACAAAGAAGTGTCTAGAGTCATGAAATGATGTCTAGTCATCAACTATATTTTTGTCCTGTTGTTTTATGTTCAAGGCTTTTTTTATGCAGGCTTTTCATAACGGTCAATATTAAGCTAAACAAGCCTGCACTGACAACGAGAATTAGAAGGAAGTAGGCTAAATACATATTTGGGTGGTGTAATAGGCTATTATAATACAATGTCATTAATCAATATATTAGGATAACCTATGTTATTTAAATGACTAAAATAGCCTATAGACAATAATGAGCAATAATAATTCACCACATTGCATAGGATGATGCGATGACAAATTCAAGCCCACAGCTTCACCTGATTCATTATTAATTTGTTTAGTTATATCATTTATAATTTGAATTATACAAGAACACCACCAATAAACTTTGGGTAATCAAAAAAAGAAAGAAAGTTGTATTCATTAGCCTACATCAGATTGGATTTTTTTCTTCAGGAAACAGGCAGACTAGAATAAATAGCAACACAGACGCGAACAGTAAACCATAGAAATGGCAAAGCAATAAATTAAATAATCCACATTTTTAACAATTATGAGTAACATTAGGATAAAACGTCTAAATATGATATATTGATCGCTGTCAGATGCTGAGCCGACAGGATGCTTTACTTATCTCCCCACCATCAGACTCTCCATCACTCATGGCATTTAGTGCTTCTTATTTATTTACCCCGTGGAGGTTCTAGTGTTAAAAAGGACACATGCTGAGATAAGCTACATAAAGGCACAGTCAGAAAGTTCTGCAATACTGTATGTCAGTAAATTTTGCATTAACTATAATTCTATACCATACAAGGTTGATTTTATATTAATTTCTTTACCAGTTTTTGTAAAACACTGATTTGTATTTTTTACAAAAAAATAGTCTTGGTTGAAACTTCAGTTCACATGATGAATAGGCATGTTATCACTTTCCATTTTTTCACACGAATCACAGAAATGTAATTTCATTCATCTTTTGATATTTATCTGAACCTCCAACTGCAGGTCAACAGCAACTTCGCAGTCACCCTCCAATTTGATGGATTTACAGTAAAAGACCATGTCGCAAAAGCGATTGCCTGTGCTGAAAAGCCGTCATTTTGTTCAACAACTGTTGCTCTCTACCGGTGGTAGTAATTTTAGTTCTGCGGAAAGCAGTTTTGGAGAACATTTCTCTCTTGCAGAGCCCAAAATCCTTATTTTCGGATGAAACCGTTTACAGTTTTGTTTTTGGCGTACTGTGAAAAGATGCAGTCCACACTGCCCCTCAGGAGTTCATTCTGGTCAGGTGTTGTCTATTTTCCAACTGCAGACTAGAATTCTGTGGGTTTCAATTTCTCAAAGTATCTTTGGAAAAGTAAATGTTTTGTGTCTCATGTGGATCCACCAACATCTCAATGAGAAAAGCTTTTTATCTGAATAGCAAAATGCCATTTGTCACTATTGTATTCCTCCATTGTAACTAAAAATACAACACAATACAAAAATTAACATTAACATTAACTATGTATTTTTAATGTTAATGTAATGTCATAATGTTTTAACGTCAATGTCATAATGTTAATGTTAATATAATGTTTAGAGATACTATACCCTGCAAGTTTTGCCTCAAAAACTCTCTAAACTTGCAACCAAATTGTCAACCGCAAGGCACAATTAATCCTGTTTTTGCATATATCCTGTTTTGACAGCTTCACAATTCGTAGTAGAGTGTTAATCTTCCTGTCAACTTTTGGAGCGTAATATTGTGCCAAAAGTATTTCCAAGTTGTTATGTAGGTGTTATGTTCAATTAAAGTGTTCAATTAAAATGTAAAAATAATAATAATGAAAAAGGTTCAGCTTAAACATTTAAATTGAACTGAGATGTTTTGAATTTTGATGTTAAACATTGTGAATTCTGCTAATTTAAATATGCCACCAAGGCATAATATTGATTTATATCATATATGAATAATATAGGAGAATACTATATAAGCAATATATAAAACTATTAAAATTATAATAGTATACATGATATATGAATAATAATAATATGATCATTTAATGAAAACCTTTTTCCCCCACTAAATATAAGAAAATTATTTTTAGCTAGAGTCCAACTCTGTTTAAATCTGAGTCTTTAAAAGTTTATTTTGCTATGTACTCCGAGCAAAAATGCTGTATTACAGTTTTATTTGAAAGCAAGCAGCTATTTTAAATCTTATTTTTGCAGTAGACTGGAGGTTACTACTACCACTTAGAGAGAAATGTATTGAAATATGGAAAGTCTCACTCCTCCTCAGGTGACAATGAGTCCAGCAGTGCTTGTTTAAATTGGCCACTTTTGGGGGATAAAGATTTGCAACTCCTGCAAAATGCAGACACTATTCACAAAATTTGCAAAAATGACCCCCCTTTTCCCTTTCAAATGTGATAAAAGAGGAAGGAGGGTGTTCTGTCTCCACTAAGAAGAAAAAAACCAAGGAAGAGATAGAGGCAGCCAGGGCTCTCAAGATAAAGAAGAAAGAAGAGGAAGAGAAACAAAGATGGAGATGGTAGGCTCTCTGCATGCATCTTCTTGTCTGTACGGAAGAGAGACACCTTGTAGCCCGGAAGTTTTGTTTGTCTCTTTTCTACTTTTCTTGACTTCTTGACTCTTTCACAGGTGGGAGGAAGAGAAGTATGAGGATGGAATTAAATTGAAGTTTCTAGAACACAAAGGGCCGTATTTCCCTCCCGAGTATCAACCCCTTCCAGATGATGTCAAGTTTTACTATACATATTCAGACATTATAAAGATCTAGTTGTGTCTGTGTTACTGATGCATCACATGGAATCGTTTCAAAGCAAAACGTGTACAAAAGACAGAGAATTTGGTAAGAGAGCAGTCAGTTCATTGGTCAGTGCTGTTCTTTTTAATTTTCTCGGTTTGGGCACACAGCCCAGCTCAAGGTTAACCTGTTCCTCTGCTGGTGTCAGGCGTACTCCAGAGAGCACAGGAAGAGTCTTTAATCTCTTTGCTAAACTTTAAGGTCAGCTTCCTCTATTAATATCCACTCTGCCATTTACCATACAGAGGCGTTTCTTAAACTATAAGTGCATTTTGGAAGGCCCAGGCCATTAATCTTGGTAGAATAAACCGGAGGGGGAAGTATTTGGATTTTGTAACCTGGACTCTCTGAACGGTAAGCTATAAATGCAGTTTTGATTATATTTGTCCTATAGGCCATGATTCTCGTTGATGCATTTAAAGTCCTATTTTGCTGTGTGTGCTGTTGTGTCTTGTGGGACCGTGAGTGGTTAAGATGGTTATAAAATCCTTCTGTAGTAGATCTGTGCTAACGATATCTTTTTTATGTGCTTTTGACTCTTATGTTTTATGTTCTTTTGTCTTAGGAGGAAATAAGCTAATAAATAGATGAACTAATGTTTATCTACGGAGTTTTCAGAAACAAACTTTTAGTCATTAGAATACTCATATTTAGGATTAGTGTGCACTAATTATTGAACTTGCCTGCAGTTAGTGCTTTACACATGAATGAAATCTCAGATCATTCAGCTTACAGAGGAGATATGTGATGGGGGGTTTTTTCTACATAATCGGAATAGTGAATCTTCTTTTTGCGCCTTGCAAATAATGAAACATTGAAAAAGAAAGGCACTATAATCGCTAATCACTATATTTGTGAATGACTGATCAATTAAAATTTTGAATTGAATGAAAAAATAAGCCTGTAATTATTTTGATATTATGGACGATTGCTAATAAATGCCCAAATTAAAAATTCTATTCAATGTAGTGTCCAAAAAAAATCCAATATTATAAAATATTAAAAGTGAATTTAGGCATCGCTACTGAAATGAATATATCTAGAATATCTCTAGATATATTAATAATGTGTAGCAAACAAACAGAAGTACTTGGTTCTACCCATAGGTTGTTAAATGGATTCTGAATTTTGGACATTACACTCAAAAATGACTTTTTGATTAGAAATGATGACATCAAAAAACGAAAAATCAAAAATCAAAAAAATGAAACCTATGCACAGACGATTAGTTAAAAATAAGGGTGCATTTTCATTTCATTTTGATTTTAAATATCAATGTCAATATATTAACATTAGATGATAAACACTAGATAATCATCAAATCATCTACTGCATGTTTATATAACATACTTAATTAATGGTATGTACTTTGACCCAACCCACACATAGCTGGTTGTTAGCTGGTTGCTTTAGTCGCTAATGTCCTTAGAGGAAGTAAATATGTTCTGTTTTGTTGTAGGAAAGCCAGAGAAGCTCAGCCTACCAGCTGAGCAAGTGGCCCTATTCTTTGCTCAGATGCTGGATCACGAATACACCACAAAAGAAGTCTTCCGCAATAACTTCTTCAGGGACTGGAGGAAGGTAAACCTCTCTGACACTTGTAAGCCTAGCTCAATCTTTAACCACTAGCTTTTACAGTTGCGCGTTTGTGGAGGCTCTAGGAGGGATGGGTGTCGGGTTATGAGTACGGAACTGTTATGAAGCTTACAGCATCCCAGTAGGCCTCGGGGCGTATCATGCAGAATTAATTTTGTGCTGCTTAGTGCTCAATGCTCTTGAAAATGCGATTTGTGTAAAGGCATTGATATGCTAATCCAGACAACTCGCTTCCCGCATATGAACAAATCCAATTTAACTGTTTTATTATAACACGGAAGCCCCTGCTCGCTTCACTGAGCACAGTCTCCGCCCCGTGCCCGACTGTCAATCTCGAGAATGAGCGAGAGAGGAATTCAAGTGATGAGACACCAGCTCTATTATTATAGTGCTTTCGTAAAATGTTGTGAGTGTTTTTGTGTCAATCTGTTTGGTGCTCGCTGTTTTTTTTTTTTCAGGTGATCTGCAGCGTAGCGTTTGCAGCAAACACTTGTTTAAAAATGTTAATTTAGATGTGTCATGACCGTTTGACCCATTTAGTACTTATTAATGAAGACTAAACTTCTGAATACCATTGAGGGTTGAGTGGATAATGAATTTCTTGTGTTTCAATATATGGCTGCCCACAGTTGCGCCCACATTCATTGGCTCTGCACTGTAGACAGCAATTAGAAAAACAAGGTCAATGAAAAGTGTGCTGGGAGGGAGGAGGCGTGTTTATGTACTTCTTAGCATTTGGTAATTACTGCACATTAGAGACCCGCCAGAACTGTGCGCCACAGGACGTAATCAGAGAGCAGCTTAACTCATAACTAGATGCAAAACTGTTTTTAGCATAAGTGCAATTGCAGGTATAGAAGAATTCATCTTTGATTGCTTTTTCTTAGTGATGGCTTCAACTAGGGAAGCAGCAATATTGAAATTCTGGCCAAGACTTTTTTTTCGGTCAAGTAACCAATAGATGTCATATATATATATATATATATATATACTTAACTCATAACTAGATGCAAAACTGTTTTTAGCATAAGTGCAATTGCAGGTATAGAAGAATTCATCTTTGATTGCTTTTTCTTAGTGATGGCTTCAACTAGGGAAGCAGCAATATTGAAATTCTGGCCAAGACTTTTTTTTCGGTCAAGTAACCAATAGATGTCATATATATATATATATATATATATTTTATGTATAATTGCAAGAAGATTTAGAGAAGTGTAATGATCTATCTCTGCTTTCACACACAGACCCAAAAAAAAGCATGTGGTGAAAAACTGATGACCTTAATCAAGCTTTATGGGGAATTATCATCTCCAACCCCCTAGTAATTTCTCCTCTTGTGGTGAAGCCGCAGCTGGCTCAGCTATTCACTCATGTTGATGTGAACTTCCCTCCTGTATAAACATATGATTAAGCACCATTTACGGAGTATGAAGTAACACTACGATGTAGGAATATAGGCCTATGTAAATGTCCATTCAGTAATAAAATACAATAGGTCACATGTTAACCCACAACAACAATGTCAAAGCAGCTGTCTTGTGGTAAAGTAACCCAAAACAATAGTTTCAAAAACAAGAGCCCTGGATCACGTCAAAATCACAATCCCATCATTTTCATCTTGAATTTGTATGTTTAGTGAAAACTCATTCGTGAAATCACTGCTAGACACTAAAATAGTAACAGAGAGATCACTGTAGACATTTCAGACCTCCTGTACTGTACCTATTTGCATTATTATCTTTTTTTAATTATGAGCTTGTGTTTCTATCAGCCTACTAGCAAGAGCACATGTCCCAGAGGGAGTGAGCCAATATTCTCTTTTAGTCTGTATACTTCATAAGTAGGTCAGCAATCTGTAATGTCTCTCATAAGGATGTTGAGGAAATGCTTCTTAGATCAAAGCTTTTTTGTCACACTTGCCCTGAAATAACTGTTAACTCTTGATAAAGAGGGACTTGCAGCGTTTTTATTGCGTAACCAGACAAGACAGGGTCAATCACCAGTAGATACAATAGCGGAGGCTAGGCTGAAACAGAACGTGGGACGGGCAGGAGGTCGAGACAGGCGGCAGACAAACACAGTAGTAGAACAATCCAAGTCAGGGCAGGCAGAAACAGATCAGAGTGCGATAAAACAGTCCAAGGTCAAACGAGTAGGCAAGATACAGGGTAA